CGGTGCACCTCACCGGTTTTTTGAATCCCATCGGCTTATATTGCTCTAGCGTGGCCTCATCACCCATCAAATAGGTGAGATTTCCACACATAAATGACGTTTTGACAGATTCTCATTCTGTATTGGTCCCATAATCAAGATTTTACCTGTGGTTTATGGAGTTCTATGTCCCCACTAGGAGTTTTTTTCGAAAGCTGCCTAGTGTCTTTGACCTGCCCGCGAAACTTCATCCAGTTACAGAACTCGCCCGCAAATCGTACAATGACGTTGGATATCGGATTCAAGATGTTGGTCGCTGGTGATGCTGGGCGACTAAAAAGGAGCAGATACGGCTTTCGGAACATCACTGTACTGTACTGTCAATAGGAGTCTTGGCCACTTGCCCGTTCGTTAGTCTCGGTCTCTTGACGAGTTATCTAAAATGCTGGAGGAAGAAAATGTAGACTTAGGTGGCCATTCTTGACCTTTTAGCCGTCACCAACGCGTCCTACTCTAACCTAGATTTTTGTCGCACCTGAACCTCATAACCGCGTTTTTTGGACATCTAACGTTATTAACTCCAACTCTCTACTAGTTCAGGGCTCGATATCCTGTGGGTTGCGATCGAAAACATTAACTCATGTTGGAGATGCGTTCACAATCTAGTTGCAGGACGTGCTTATCCCGTTGAGCCTTGGAGCTCAATGTGGAACCCCCAGAGGCGGTTGTATAGCAACCAAGGATACTGCCTTTAGTTGGAACAGCGACGGAGTAATTTGTCTGTGAACTATTACACCTTCCTCTGGCGCAGTCTCACGACTTTACCGCAGAGGCATAATGGACGGCTTTAGGAGTAATGCGGATTAAGAAGTTGCCTTTTCGGACGTGGATATGCTCATCTTTGTTCAAGATCTCAGTACAACTTTGACAGGGCAATTACCTATTTACCGTACTTGTTTGTCATTCTTACCTGTAAGCTAGAAACACACCACTTTTGACAAGAAACATGAGGTTGCTTAACTCGGAGACCATTCCGTTGTATAAAAAGGAAATGATGACCTTCAAAAACCGATTTTAGGCCTTAACTATCAGTGTTTCCGGTATGGGTAGAGCAGCTTCCTCCCGAGGCTTTCGTTCAAAGGCTTCGCATGTTGACTAATAAGTACCCCGATATGTTACGTTCTGCTAGCGGAGTTCCCTCCATTTTGAAATAATGCAGGCGCTTATTGGAGCGAGTTCGATTTTCCGCTTTCTCTATTTACAGAAAATGACGTAAGTCGTGGGATATTAACCTGACTTTTGATCTACTATTTTATTTGGAAAAGATCACTCGCGTGGAGTCACAAGACTTATTGTTATATAGCAATGTTACAAAATATTGCAATGACAGCAGTGTTTCAATTTTTGAGTTCGCATCCTTTGAACGGCGGGCAGAAATAACAACAACTGGCAATGGCCGCTTACGTGGTACTGTTTTTATCGATTTCCGATGTCTTCCTAAATCCAAACGGTCTGACATGTGCAAATAAGCTCCGCACTACATGTGACCTAACACCAAATCCCAGAGGAGGACTTATTCCCGAGCACCAATTTGAACCTTAACCCTTATAACCTTAGCCTTAACCCTTACCTTCCTAACCCGACACCAATCCTAACATTTACCCTAGCCTTCTGTGATTTAATTCACGGTTACAGGTAGTCCGGAATTACTTATTCCCTTGTCCAACCATCCACGGTGATTTTTCTTGCTTTTGTTCCGCGCAAAACTGCGTACTCTTCGATTTTTTACTCTGAGAAATAGTGTCTTGCGATAAAAAAAGTTTTGGCTGGGACATTTTTAGAATCTGAAATGTCCGTCCAAATTGCTCCGTAAAGGCCTCTTATTCAATGTTTCTTATAAAGTGCATAATGTGATCGAGATCCATGGATAATTGTCTGGGCCCTATATGACAGCTTCTTTACGACAAAAGGTAGTTTATAATTTTATTTAATTAAACGTTTCCGACTTCTAGATTGGAAAACCTCTATACAAACACAATGACTGGTCGAGTTAGAGATCATTCGGTCAAAGAACAACTGTTTTCAAAGCTCTAATGTACACCTTCTTTGAACATAATGTTTGAATAGACCTAATGCACTTTATAATGAACATGCTAAAGGTCAATTTCATACATATTTTACAAAAAAAAAACACGATTAAGCTCATGGGGCGTGAAACATTGACAAACAAAGTTAATGTTTTGAAGGCTGCACGAAATACGCGAT